CCACCGCGGCATACGGAATTGGTCTCTTTGGTCTGAATACGGCTTTCGCTTTCTGCTTGAGATACAGTGTCGCTTTGGCCTTGATGCGTAATCCCAAACTGTCGGAGAATACTGTGCCATGTTCCGTCTGCAATTGGGAGATGAGGTGAGGTACATCTCCATTTTGTCTAGTGGGCCAATTTTTCGGTACTTCAGATGAAAATACGTAATTGATATCTTTGCTGCTTGAGTGACAGAATTCGTTCACAAGAATATTCCAAAGTCCCAATTTATCAATCCACTGAATGCCAACTAAATTACGTGAACAGTCATTGGCAACATAAGCCGTGGAGGCAAATATCGTGTCACGAAATTTGCATACACATTTGACTATCCCAGCAATAACCATTTGTTTGCCGGAAGCGTTATAGGCTGAATTATTGGTTTGTTGGAGAGCTGGACAGCCTAGAGCTTCCCATGAATGGCGTGTCAAAATGGTTATGTCTGACGCAGAGTCAAACTGAAAAATTAACGGGATACTATTAACAACGATAGACATAAATTTCCATCTAGAGGAGAATTCTGTAGCGGCAGAGGGAACAATACCAGAGTTATACAATAACTCTGAGTGACTCACTGAAGGTTTTGTAATCCATTTTAGTTGGATGGTGGCTGTTTGTAACGGTAACAGTTTGTATTTTTGTCCTTTTTTACCACACACTTGACAGATTCGGTCGGCATAGGGACGGTATTTCACAAAATGCCAGTCGCCACATTTCCAGCACGCTGTAGGCGGTCTAGACTTCGGGTTGATTGGTGCTTTCCAAGCTTTCCGTTTGTTCGGGGAAACTTGTAAGCGATTCACAGTATTGTAGCCCGAGCCTTTCGCTATCAATGCGGAGTCCATTTTTGTTTTTGACCCGTTGGCATTCCTTTGTTATGTTATGCAAAGTGAGGTCCGGGGAATTTTCAATCTGCGACAGTATACGATTGCGCAGTTCCGCATCCGTGGCTGACTGTAATCCGCTGACGAATAGAAAACATTTGAACTGGTCCATTGAGAGGTCCTTTAGTTTGAACCGCTCAGCCTCCAGGTTGATTCTCCCTGAATGTGACAAAATCTTCTGACTGTCTTCTTGACATGGAGGCACTGATATCGTGTATGAAATAATGAAGCACGAGCACTGAATATTTGGGTAAGGCACTTCACTGTTTCTGAAAACTGTACGTCCGTTGGTTTACTAGGTAAGATGTAGTTGGTATATCGTTGATGTTCAACGGGGCCAAGTTTGCGCATGAGCAGTCTTATTTTGTCAGTGTCTTCCCACAGAGCACAATCCACGGTTAATATACCCCCGAATCTTGCGTACCAAGATTCGAACGTCAATTCTGCATCGGCGTGAATTCTGTAATCGCATTGGCGAGGTTGTCACTGGTTAGACCTGCAGTTATCGATTGAAGCGATGAAGATTGTTCCATCTTTTTGGCCAACGCTTCGATGAGCTTGTTTTGTGTGTGTGAAACATTTGCATGAACATTTCCATTTGATCTGACATGATTTTGTTTTGTCTTGAACGCGTGGGTTTTTTTTCGTCGCTAATGGTCATGTTCCCAGATCGCCCAGAGCGAGAGGACGAACAAAGACCACCGGATCGTCGGATCCGTGTATGTACGAATGCAGGTGTCCGCACTAAACCACATGATAACAGCGATAATCATGACATCATAAAAGATCAAGGTCAATGACACTGTCTGTTCGCCTGCTGGCCATTGGCACCCGTAACTATGCGACCCCATCTCCCGGTTAAGGTTTTTATACCCTCATATCAGGTCTTAGTTGGACCACCCTTGACCTTTTCGTATTCCCTAACTGCCTCGGCAAACATTGTGCGCACTGGCAACGTATTTGGTGATGCATGTCCCAAACACCGTAATCTATGGAGGTTGACCACTTGCTCCAGTGAATGACCGCGATTACCTAAAACGTTATGCCTAACCTCAGCACTGCTTGTCCGGTTTCCCCATCAGACTGGTGCAATGCGACGTAGATAGCGATGTTCGAACACCGACAGCAGTGAACAGATAGTTGAGGGATACTGTTTAGAAAATCAAATGAAACACAACGGAAAAATCGATCCTAAAACCGTGCAAGACATAAACGAAGGTAATAGGAGCATAACCCAAAGACAGTTCCAGTCTGATTATCTACCCGGTAGTTGTCAGTCCGTTTGAAACACATCTGTATCTGCGAATAAAAACAAACTGTCGCATGAGAAGTGTCGTTGAAAAAAAACCAATGGAAACGGAATACTTGTTCCGATCATGTTGGACACCAATCACAATGTTCACCGATCCGCCATAAAGCAAATCTTTCAATTTAGAAGGCAGAATGAGAGAGCACTTGACAGAAGACACATGTCAAATGCAACCGGTCTCAAATCTCTGTGTTGCTGCCANGTAGTTCGATGATGTCTTTCAGCTGATCGATCGACGACACACACAAAGGGCATGCAATCGTACTCTTAGAGGTCATGGTTGGAGAGAATATCAATCAATCAAATTGTCCCTCAATCCAACCGCGATGACCTGATGGGGAGTGGGATGTATGTGTGGCTATTCATTCGATTGACCTAGCGTATATAACGCGTACTGGAAACGGACACCGACGGTGGCCAGATGGTCCAGGTCTCTATCAGATTACTTCGGGCGCGGTGTATTCAAATTCCATCAGGTAACTTTCCCATTTCCATGCTAGATTTTGACTACAGTCAATCTCCTAATATA